AAAAACATTCACGAACGATTCAACCTATAGAAAAGTGTCCGCATTAAAAATCGCAAACAATGGTCTCGACCTCAAAATCCGACCACCCGATCGAACACGTTCTTCTTCTTTTTTTCCCCCCTTCTTTCTTTTCGATAAAGTTGCAAATAAAAGTTCGATTTTTGTAATATTGATCTGAAAATATTCTAGAGTTTTGGGTTTAATTTCTTCGTTATAATAGAATTGGTTTTGGAAACGAATTATATATAATACATTATATATAATAAAATTATTATTAAGTATATAAAGTGATAATATAAAATATTTTCTGAATAGAGTAGTTTCAAGTTATAATTAAAAATTTCATTGTGAATTTAAAAAAAAAAGAAGGAAAATAATTATTCATTTCTTAATATTCTATTTTGTAATTATTAATTTCTTACTTTCGTAATACTATTTCGAATTTTTTACGATCTCTTTTTTTAAAATTCACAATTCATAATATTTGTTTCGTTTCCTAATATGGAAATATTCACCACTATTCCCAAGAGTTCACGTTTCGCGAAGAGAACACGTCGAAGTACCCGCCTAATTACCGTATCGCAATATTAATTCTGACCTAATTACTTTAACATAAACAAATGCGTGCAAATTTAAACTTGATAAACAGTGTTTCGAGAAAATTACGCATATAAGGGGGAAAAGAAAAAAAAAGAAAAAAAACGATGATCGAAACTAATTAAAGTAATAGATTTCACATTTCGAAGGGGAAAAAAAAAAAAATAAATAAGAATTTTTGCAACACGTGTAATTTACACGAGATAGGAGAAAAACATACCGGAATATTTAATTAAGGAAAAAGGGAGTAGCACTCGTGTTCAATTAACTGCAACTCTTTTGATCATTACTCGCATCTATTGCAACAAAACAAACAAAATAAAACTATTCCCTTTAAGGTTGAAATATATTTCATACTTTTGAAATATGTTTTGAAAATTAAAGTTTTTGTTTACATTTTCTTCGCGAGAGATCTGATTTTAAATCCCTACAAAAGACACAGAGTTTGTTAATTTTCTAAAAAAATTAAAATATATATTTCTTCTTGAAAAAAAAAAAAA